CCATGCTGCCTTATACCTTTACTAGAGGGGCAGGTCCCTCAGCCCAGCCTGCACCCTCTTGCAATCCAGGACCCCTTGGGGAATGTCCAACTGATTAGGCCTAAACCAGCAGTCAAACATCCCTCTCGCAATTCAGGACCACTGGCTCCTAACAGCTTACCTGCCTGCCTGCCTGATTGCCCTTAACCACTCTGCCTGCCTGCCTCATCGCCCTCTAACTGCTCACCTGCCTGTCTGATCGCCCATAACCACCTCTGCCTCGGCCCCTACAGCTTTGTCCAGAAGGACGTCCGGAATGACGTCCGGAAGGTCATTCGGCTGTCTGGTCTAATTAGCATATTATGCTTTTATTGATAGATTATACCTTATTTATTATACCTTACTATAATATACCATATAGCAGTTTTCTTTCAGTATGTGAGTTCCTCCAATATATTTTATTTTGGAGTTTTTTACAGAGCATTAGATACTTGGCAAAGAACCTGAGACACCCCCAAAAAAACTACTGAGGAAGAATGGAAAGAATTTTGTAATGATAAAACTGGAGGAAAGTGACAAATAAGCCATATTTGGGAAACTAGGCATCTGGAACTGATATTAGAAGCAGTAACGTTAGAAGGATAATCTTATTTTGGAGATAATTTATATTGTTTGGGGTATGCTAAATCTATATACCTATAAGCATTTGTAGACAAAGTCCAGTAAGCAATTGAACATAAGAGTCTTAAGTTCTATATAGAGGTCTAGACTTGAGATAAATATTTATGAGTCATATGTGAAGAGGTGATTTTTTTTTAAGTTATAGAAATGGTTGGAACTGGCAAATGTTATAGAAGATAAGAGGAGAAAGAAAAAAACCTTTACTTAGAAAACACCTATACTTAGCAGGCAGAATGAATAACATAGAGACTGAATGGAAGAATGAAAGTGTCTGGTTCTGCCACTCCTGATGGACAAAATCATTCTAGATAAATCACTTACTCTCTGGGCTACTGTTTTCCCATCTATAAAATGCTACTGAATCTACTAAGTTAAGTCCAGAACCCAAAGCTAAAATTTTAGAAGCTCCTACCAAATTAAAAACCATCTACACTAATAAAAGAGAAACATGGTAATTGGCGTACGACCGCTACCCTTTTCATTGGCTAATCAGCG